TATTACATACTTGAAAGTTGCTGAGCTGTGTAGATCTTACATGTTCTCACCACAAAAAAAGAAATGGTAATTATGTGATGTGATAGAGATATTAGAAAATGCTATGGTGGTGATCATTTTGCAATATACAAGTGTAGCAAATCAACACATTGTATATCTTAAACTTAACACAATGTTCTATGTCAATTATATTTCAATAAACCTGGAAAAAAATAAAATCCAAAAATAAAATAAAATAAAAATAAAGTTTCTCCATGTACTTCAAAATAAATAACACATTATGATGTTTACCTATTGGATAGAGAGGTATTACACTGTGGAATATGAACAAAAGAGAGGAAGCAAAGAATCCTTTGCTTCTTTTGCTCTCAAACAAAAAGTTCAATTCACTTAGAAGGAAAAAAAATTCAACCCTAGGAAACAGTGGAACATTCCAAGGTCCTCAAAAAATGACATCAGGGTTTTATACCGTTGAGTTGCCTAAATTAAAAGTTACAATCTAATATGTTGCGGGGGGAGGGGGGGAGGGGGAACAGACCGTATGGTGAAATAATTTGTAAGACCTTAAAAAGGCAACACAATAATCACAAAACTAAGACAAGAATGTGTTATATCAATAAAAATAGGTTTAACACCTATTCAAAGAAAAATATCTTTGGATTAGATCATATTGCAAAAACCATACTAAGCAATATACAAAAAAAAAATGCCTACAATGAAATAATTTATAATGGTTGAATATAAAAACACAGACAATAGTTTGGCAAGTGGAGACAAAAAGAAAGCAAGAGTGACAAAATTAGATGAAATAGAATAAGGCCAAAGAATAATAAGTCAGCAAAGAGCAACAAAAAGGATAAAGAATCAAGGAGAAGCTGCAAGTGAATAAATAGATAAATAAATAACCATGAAGTACATGAAGAAACATGCACTATGAGCAGGTAACAGCAGAATCACAGTAGAAAGATATTCATGAAAACTTTAGCTACTGGAATTGTCAGACACATTATTAAAAACACTTACTCTTTAAAAAAAATAAATAAATTCAAGGTTAAAAATATTTGCAGGGAACAAGGCACTATGTGAAATGATCCAGAAGACCTGTAGAGAACCAAACATTTTCTAGAAACAAGATACAATAATAAACATTTAATGATAGATTCAACAGCAGATCAGATATAGGTAAAGAGAAAGTAGTGAATTGGAAGAGTGGGCAAATTAAATTATATGGCAAGCAAATAGAGCAAAGAAATGAAAAATATGTAAGAGTAGTTAAAAAATACTGAATACAGAATGCAACAGAATATTATGTATCTAACTGGAGCTCAAGAAGCAGAAGGAACAATGAACCAGAAACAATATTTGAGAAGATAATGGCTGGGACTTTTCCAGAACTAATGAAAGGCACTATGCCGTATATTCAAGATGCCCTACAAATGACAAGTGGGATAAAATTAAAAGAATACCACACTTAGATAAATTTTAATAAGTGGAAAATTACCGTAGATAAACAGAAATCATCCTGTAAGTATTCAGAGGGAGGAAAGAAGGGACAAATTACCTTCAAAGGGTGACTGTGAGATTAACAGCTGAATTTTCATCAGCCATAGTAGAAAACAAAAGGAGTGGAATATTTTCTTTGAAGTACTGACAGAAAAAGTTCTGCCAACCTATATTACACTCAGTGAAAATTTATTCAAGAATAAGAGTGAAACAGGCATTTTCAACAAGCAAAAACTGAGCAAGTTCCCATCAATAGAAAGCTCACCAAAGGTATATCTTAAGCAGAAAGAAAGAGGTCTCACGTGGAAAATGTGAGAAATAAAAATGTCAGCAAAGTGGTAAATGTGTGGGTATAAAAAATGTAAATGACTAAATAAAACAGTATCTTAACTTTTAAAATAAAATTAAAATAATGAACAACACTACATAATATTGTTAAGGTAGGGTAACGGAATTCAAGAATGTTAAGGTCCAGTGTAATCTGAGAGGAAAATAATAAAATTGATTAAACTTAGACTTTGAAAAGTTATATATGTTATAATTTCTAGGTTAATCAATAAATGAAAAGAAATAGAGTATTAACTACAAATGAGTAGAGGGGAAAAACAGAATGAGAAAAAATACTTCAGCAAAATAAAAAAAAAATGAGAAAGAAGAAATGGTTGGGTCACGTAGAAAGTATAAAATAAATTGGTAGATATAATTCAAATATAGGAGTAATTAAAATAATTTAAATGGACTAAACACTCCAGTTAAAAAACAAATACTATGATATGAGGGGTCAAGGAGTCCAATTATAGGCTATTTACAAGTGATATCTATAACATCAGGATATATATATGGTAAACATAAAAGGATGAAAAATTATACTATGCCAATTATAAACAAAGAAATAACAGAACTTAAAACAAAAACATTACTGAAGATAAAGGGAATCATTTCACAATGATAAAAGTTTCAATATACCATAAGGCTAACCTATTTTACATTCATAAGCACCTAAAGACATTCTTATTTTTATGTAAATCAAAATTGAACAGAACCAGAAAGAGAAATTAGCACGTCCACAATCATGAGGTTTGAACACACTACTCTCAACCGATAAAACAAACAGACTGAAAAAAAATTATTAAGGATATAAAATACTTGAAGAACACAGTTAAGAAAAGTGAACTAATATTTATACACATATAGAGACACTGCACCCAATAAATGTGAACTATACTCTTAACTACAAATTAACCTTTATAAAAATTTTACATACACTGGACCATAAACTACATCTCATAATTGCAAAGGATATAATGATACAGACTATATTCTCTAGCCATGGTGCAATCAAGGTAGAAAACAATAACAAAAAATGTCCTATACCATTGATAACCGAGAAATTATCAATTTTTTTCCAAAGAAAAAAATAGAGAATATTTTAAAATAAGTAATAACATATTACATGTGGGATTTACTTTTGTAGTACTTAGAAATGTACAGTATTAAAAGAATATAATATAGGAAATAATATATAAGACTATCTTTGATTCTGGGAAGAATTTCACAAGACTAAGAGTACTCACCATAGAGAAAAGATTAGTATACAGGAATTCATTAAAATTAAAAACTTTCATTTATTGGAAAAGAAGTCATAAAGACATAGAGAGAGAGAGCATCAACAGAGAGAGAAGTGCAAATCATAAAGTGGAAGGAGATATTTACAAGACACATAATGCAAGTCCAGAATATTTGTGGAACTCCTAGGAACTGATATAAAAAGGAATCCTATGGACAAATCGGCGAGACATTTTAGACACTACATGAAAGAGGAAGTTCAAAGGGCTAATAAACATATGAATGATGCTAACTTTAATCGGGGATATTAAAATTAAAACTTCAATGTCTATACACATACAAACACGTACAACAAAATTTTAAAATACCAAGTGTTGGCAAGAATATGAAGCAACAGAACTCTCATACACAGCTGGTGAGAAAGTAAATGGATACAATCACTTTGGAAACAAGGTTTG